TTCAGTCTGTCTCTTTCTCTTTTTAAAATTTGTCCCAGTTTTCTATTAAATTTTTCGCGACTTATCAATTTGAACCAGGCCTTTACAGATAGTTTCTTTAGTGAACCGTTTTTCTTCGTTACATAAACATCCACGCAACCATCCGTACAGCGCGAACTGGTGTGTGCACGCAGTGTGTCCCGTCAGTGGTAAAAAGCGCCCGCTCTTGTTTGCGCACGGAGCCCACAGCAGGCAGTTTACTGGATCTTTTTGACAAGCACAGGACAAACAACATTTGTTCCAGCTGCAGGATTCTGCCGGGATCCAATTCAGCTCGTTTAAATTGTTCTAAACACAGTCAGCGCAACAGAGGAACAGAGTTAGGCTGCTTAAAGGTTCTGCAAAACTTTTCCCTCCAAAATGTCACAACAGTTTCTGGCAACTATCAAGCAGCGTCTCCAAATTGAACCCAGATTTCTGGATTAGCCTTCCCCTGACAATCGAAAGGAAACTGAATGTTGTTGACTGAGGGTTTTACAGACCATTCGGTGTCCAGACCTTTGAAGGTGATTGGTTCATCGGGGCAGATGTTAAACAAAGGGTAGTTAGAGTTTGTTTTAGTTTTGGGGGAGGGGGAGGGGGAGGGGGGGAAATAGGAGGGGGGAACCACACCAATTTTATGGTACAGTGGAACGTCGCTTTACTGAACACCGCTTTACAGAATACTCGGCTAAACCGCACATCGTCTTTTGGCTCATGATTTTAGTCTACAAAACGCACCGAACATTGTTGCTGAAAAATGTCAACAAAAGAGTGACAAGTGGCTAGTATTTCCCCAAAGAATAGAAGGGGACAGTCACCCATTGCTGTAGGTAGTAAGCTCAACAATTGTTTAATAGCACTCCGCACTGATGACGTCAATTTTGCTCCGCGCCGTACGCGCGCAAACTCAGACAAACTTTCGAACAACACGCGCGCACTGGCCGCATACATTCGCATAGAAACGGTGTTGCAAGCGTGCGCGTAATCTTCACACGAGAAGTTCGAACAGCATGTTTGTCTGAGATCCGGGTACTTGCTTCTATTTGTAACATTAGTGCGAAGTGCTACTAGTATTACAAGATTCAATAGTCGGCACATGTTCAAAGTCGTTATTCAGTAACTACCAGGGCGTGCAGGGTGAAGTTATTTATTGAAAGTGAGTACTGGAGCACCAGCCGCTGAAAATTGCTATACCGAACGATCGCTATTACGAACAATTTCTGCGGATCTCGCGATGTTCATTATAGCGGCGTTCTACTGTACATGTATTTGCCATTTAGACTTTGAGCACACTTTCAGTGACCTTCACAAGTAAAGGTGGCAGCTGGAAATTTATCGCATCCCAAATTGCAAGAAAATTTGCACGGGTTCAATTTATTTTTTACTTTTCGTCTCAGCGATGGCAAATTAAGACAAGCTTAAGCCTAACATCCAAGGCACCTGGGATTCCTCTTTAGGCCAGGTGTCGCCAGGGGTACGGGAAGGTCGTCGGAGGTTATCAATTACGAGCAATTATTTTATCGTGGGAGCCCACAAGGAACTCACAATTATTGCATAACCTGAAATTAAGCGGGGCCTTACTATTTTTAGTAATACAAATGGTGTAGGTACATCCCATGATAGTCAATTTTGTTTCAGTTTCAAAAGAAAGAAATGTCAAAACTGATGTTATAAGTTTTTGAACTTAAATGTTCAGGCCAAAATCTTACAAAACTGAAGAAAAAAAATCATGCACAGAGACGCACATATAGGTAACACAACTGCAATAGGCACGTGAATGAAAACGTTGAACACATTTTTGGGGGACAAAATATTTTAAGTGTCATTTTTCTTAAAGTAATCAAATAAATGATACAATTTGCTTCAGTATCAAAGAGAATGTGATTATTGTTAACATCAAATTTGAGACTTTTTTTGTTAGTGGTACATGCATGTATACATGTGCAAATTCAACTTTTTTCTGAAATAGGAAAAATAAAAATAACAAGATGTAGGTTTAGCAACAGAATGAAAAAAGGACGTCCTGGAGTACAATCAACTCAATAAAACAATTAGGTTAACACAAAATGTCTTTAAAAATATCGGTAACCACTATACATTTATAAACTATTCTTGAATGGTGATTAAACAAAAATGGGCTTAAAAATAAAAGAAGCACACAATTCCTTCCTGTACAGTCCCAATCAATCACGGCAGAAAGGAAGCAATTTAAAGCTTGCAGGAGCACAATCAGGAAGCATGCAGCAATAAAACAGAAGTACACATAACTGTAAAAACTTGTTTACTCTTATCTCACTGAAACACTGAAGGCGCTTGTTGTCGGCAGCAGACTTATCTAGCAGGAAGCATTTGATCATCAGGGCTAGCATTACCACTATCATTGGAGGTGTGAAGCCACAAACCACTGAACCAACACAGAAACCACATTACAAACAACAAGTTGTACTAGTTGTCAAAAATACCTGTACTTAAGCCGTCAGACCATGTACAGAAAATTCAGGCCAAATTTCTAAATCAATCTTAACCCCCCTACCCTATAAACATGTTCAATGTCACCTGTAAATGTCACAGAAATCTGTGTCAGACTTAAGAATTGACGCCCGAAAAGTGCAAAACTTGATTGTCACTTTTAAACTAGGCCAAGGCTCTAGTGAGAAAAGGGACAAAAGTGGAAGAATTTTTCATTGAACCCTTTCAAAAATAGAGAAAAATTGTGTGGGCTGGCACTATAACTACAGGTGAACGACATAAACACATTCCAATGCCCCTATTTTTTCCTAGTAATGGAGATCAATTTTAGGCTGGAAGTGATTATTTTTATGAAAAGCATTATACCACACTTCGTCTACCTTGTAAGTTTTATAATGTGAAACATTCCTCAGTTCCTTCAAAACCGGGATGATTGATCATCTTTCATACAAGATGATCAAATCACCACATAGGCCTACCTGTTCATTCCATTTCATTTTCATTTCATTTCAGATAGATTTAGTTCATGTCAACATCATTTGAAAAATGTGATAACAATGCTCATTTAAACATACACTGCAACTTGTTCAATAGAAATATTTGGCTATAGCAATATATAATAAATAAATATTGGAGGGGTGTGAAGTGGAAAAAGGAGAAGCATCTGCTTTTTGTTCCCCATCCCTATGAAGACAAAAACAAAAGAATAGGCCTATACTGAAGAGTACACCTAAACAATGGGATGGACCATTCATCACATTCATGAGTTCAACTACTTGATAAAAATTTGAAAAGGTCTTGTTCTTTTTATTTGTAATGAAACTAATGATATTGGTACTACATGCAAGTCAATTTTCAGAATGGAGCTAAAATTTGAGTCATCTACATTTTTATACTTCTCGCTATACAGTATACAGTTACTGACCAATTTTCAGAATAGAGCTAAAATCTGAGTCATATACATTTTATACTTCTCACTATACAGTAACTGCACCTTGGAATACCTCAGTATCTCAATCTGGATCTTGCACACAGAAACCATGGAGGAATAAACATCCTTGTTGCTGATCTACTATGTCTTGGAAAGTGCACTAGACGTACCGGTAGATGTTGCAAACATGTACACTGGGACTCTTTGTGGTACATAACACCATGTATTTGCCCCAGATACTGCCTGCACATTTTGCATTATCGATAGGATTGATTGTCCCATTCATGCTAATTGAAAGGATCTCCTCAGCTCTAGGGGTCTTCATTTCCTCGTCTTCATTGGATTAACAATGGTGGAGTCCTACAAAGTTCACTGACCATACACACATGTATGCATTGCACACTTACAGTTTGACTGTGGGTAAGTGCTGGGCAATTAAGTGGGTAAAAAAGAGGCTTTGTTTTTGAAGTAAATATCCATTAAAATCTTGTTAATTCCGTTTAATGTTAGAATCATTGCTCTATGCATAGAGCAACCTTGCTCTTTACAAAATGTGCAGTAATTTCTGTGGAATCACACATCCTTGGCACAAAAACGCTGGGAAAGCTGTGACTTCATCAGCCCAGGAAATAAAAACACCCACAAAGAAAATGCAAAACCACAAAAGCCACAGCAATGTGTGGCACCAGTTTATTTACAGGCTACTGACCACTACCACAACACAAGGTAACCACACAGCCCCAACACAACCCCACAACTACCCAGGATATTGGACTGCATGAGCCACTCTCCTTCCATCATCATGAAGCTATTCTGTTTTATAGCTCCATGCTTCAATTAATGAAGTAATAAATATTCCATGATGCACATGCATGCCATCGAAGCAACAGGCATCAGTGTTTTTTGAGAGAAAAAATCCTGCTAGGCTGATAACAGCAGACTGATAACCATATCAAGTCATTCTGGTCAGTAAGCAACGAGCAGCAGCAGGCAGCATGAGTGGGTTTTTGTTTTGTTTTAAAGTGGAGAAAGATATCCTACTTGGATCAAAACAGAGAACCCTTTAAATGCTTTGTATATTTCAGGACAATCCAGTCAAGCAGTCAATATTTAGTCAATATTTAGATCATTAACTTAAAGTTCCATGCTCTAGTTTTCATCACTACAAATTTCCACTATAGACCTAAATTTACATTGTTGTAAACTTCAATGACTGAAATTCACTTTTTCTCAATGAGAATCCTAGACTATTTTCACAGACATAACAGACAGCAAAAGTAATCATAGTAAATGAATGTTTAACATTAAATATATGATTTCATGTGCAATAATGTGGATTTAAACTCAGGAGAATTTAAAACAAAGGTAAAATCAACGTACACCATACTGCAATAGACAATGACCTAAGAGAATCTTAAAAAAGGAACAGAGAGAGTCTTAAAAGAGGCAGTGAAACACCTCGTGCAACATGTATCTAATTACTAATACCATGGAGTGACTTTGTTGCATCCTAGTGGCTCAGAAAATTTTCAATATGTATGGAGGTAGAATTTCCTCCCATGTACAGGTATATACTCACTCAAATCATAGTACCGGTACATCCCTCATCAGGACAATCATAGCTAAACTGCGACAGCCTATCACATTTATATTTCCTGGACAGAGAACAATAACATTCAGTGTATCCCTCCCCCACAGAGCGCACTGGACTACCACAAGGCACCGTTTGTCACACCACACACAATGACTGAGGCTAATAAAGCTGCCTAGCTTAATTGTCACACTGGTCTCTCACTCCAGCCTACCAACCTCCAGCCATGCACTCCTCTGTGTGGCAGCTAGTACAGAGCAGCTGGTATCAGAGGCTACTTCCATTCACCATTCCGTAAGCCCCTCCCAGCCCCAGGCTCAGCAGCCAATCAGTGTTTTAATGAATGAATTATGCGTAAGTTTCTATCAGACTAGGGCACCTGGTGGTAGCATGTGTACAGGCACAATACACGTGCATTGCAATTTATGCCATGTGCAAAACCACACACACACTTAGGCCTGTGCTTTATGAATTGAAAAATGTAAGATAATCATCAGGAAGATTTATCATGTGTGATTCATGACTGAATGTGATGACATTAGATATGATGGATTAAAATTGAAAATAAACTTCTCTGACATTGAGCACAAAAAAATGTGTGAATATTTTGATGGACATTAATTGTGAGATGTCAGAATGATTCATGGATTCAGCAGTTCACTATTTATTTATGTGTGCTGTATCATTTCATATCCTTTTCTAACCTGGGATGCACTTAAAGATAATGTGGCACCTCAGTTTCTTCTTTTTAAGAACATTGTTTTAGTCTTGAAGACAACAGGAGATTGTGAAATTCAAAGACTCGGATCTCAACTGAAGTAGAACTTAGAAGGTACATGTACTTTGGCAAACCAATTTCATTGCACTTGCAGTTTTGAATTATATATTTCAACATATTGGGTTTTTGTTCTTAATCCCACAAAACTTCAAACAATATCTAGTAACAAGTCGATTTTAGTTTACAATTCATTTTCCACAACATCCCAGTACTGTATGTTTATGAGATGATGCATTATAGTGTTCATAAACAAACTAGAAACAAACCACTGTTTCTGTAATTCCTATTTCTTTGCACATTTGCTGCACGTGTCCCTAGTCTATGTACCGGTAATAGACCCTTGCGCATGCGAGCAGATTCGGTGATTAATTATGCAACTAGACTGCGTCTTGACCTCGAGATTCTGACCATTCAGCGGGCGCCTTCTTTATCGGGTCATAGGTTACCCGTTGTCATAGACATCTCTAAATAAAACCTAGACGTGACATCTATTATGCTTTTACCTTGTGAACTGAGCACAACATAGGCTGTGTCACGCGGCCTGTAATATTTATTTTGCAATGCGCCAACGTCCTGTGGCTTCGAATGATCATCACATATTTAAATAATGCGCATAATGCGAATGCCCTCTTGCGCGTAATGCGACAGTTTTGAGAGCCAATGTTGTGTATGTAGGTTTTATTATCTCTCTATGCCCGTTGTTGTATTACAAAAATATGGTATCCACATTGACCAATCAGCAGCTTAGTCCAGATTTCGGAATGAAATGACGTTACAATTTTAGTGAAGTCGACTCCGAACGGCTGGGGAACGGGGTCACATAAAATTGAATGCTTACGGTAGATATATCAGACGTTGGACGGGAGACAGAGAGGGCGCTGTTGGGCAATGGGTAATACTCAGACTGGAATCAGACTCAAACTGGACTCAGACTCAGACTGAGACTGGACGGTCCCTCGCGATTGCCCAAGAAATGTTAACATCTGTGCACCTAATCGAAATAGTCTGTGCACTACAGGGTTAATGATGCCCACATCCGACTGATCTCTAGACCATGTGCAAGGAAGAACATTCATCAATGAACTAATTTGCAGATTGATGGCACAAGTTGCCCAGGATTCAAAACCAGACAAATCCAGCAGTGCCTTTCCATCACCGAATGAGTCACTGCAAGACCAAATTGTTCCAAATTTCCCATCTCTGACACTTCTCCCAACAAAATCAACAAAGATGGCACGCAAAGCTGTCTGGCAGTCTACCAGCCAGCCAGCCAGAAATCCTTGTCCCAGTCGCATCCCACCCCTTCAACCCCCCTCCCCAGACTCCTAACAAAGTTGCGAACCAAACTCAAGACATTCATCCAAATCGCAAAACTCAGCGTCACACAACCCCAAATGTTGAACTTGACCGTGAAAACCAAGTTTTGGTGAAATCTAATTAGGAAGTTGCGCGCCGAGGGAGCATATGGCCGGTAGCCGGCCACACACTTCCCCGTGAATTAGACTCAACGCTTGTCTGAGGGAACCCCGGCAAACGTCTTAACCGCCCATGTCAGGCTGGTCACGTCCATCCGTTGACTGGCCTGGTGCCTTGCATGAGCTGGCACCAAAAGACGGGATTTCCCGATACGTGTCATGGAGCTTATACTCATTTCTAACCATTTTTTTCTTCTTCAATTGATGTTGTATAGTATACTGTACAACATCGGTTCATTTTCATCAAATTGTCTAGCAAGTAACAATTCGCTCTTCGGGGAACATTTTTTTGACGATAAATTGGATCCTGGATGATGAGCAAATCCTGTTCTCACAGAAGATTGGAAACGATTACAGTTTATAAACATCCAGCTAAATTCATGTTTGACTGAGTTGAAATCACAGGGGATACACGATAGATTATGACATCAGTTCGTGAAGTACTACATGATGTTAGCATCACACATCTCTTGCGATTTTGGATTACAAACATGTGTTCGTGGGGTCTGGGTTGCATGTTATTATTATTCTTATTAATTTCTGGTACTGAAACCAAGGATTCCTCAAAGCTCGCAAGCCTGAAGAAACTAGAGAAGACAATGAGAAGAAATAACAGTTTTAGATGTGGGAGGAAAACCACAAATGAATATTCTGGGGAAAACTCACGGGCACTGAAAACCCAATCCACATATTGGCCCAGGCGGGATTCGAACTCGGGTCACAGCGGTGGAAGGCGAGGAAAGTATACCACTATGCCAACCTGACTTACGACATGTAAAAAAAAGTCTCACTTTTTCAAATCATGCCTGCCAATGGTAAAGTCTAAACCTCAAGCTAGATTCAAGTCAGATCACATTAAAGGCGTCATTAAATGAACCAACGATATGAGCTACACGCACATGCCTGAAACAGCTCAGTTAAGTCAACCGCCCTACTCAAATGTGAAATGGATACTTTGGCAGCGGATCCGTGTAATGATTCCATTTGTCTGGTTTTCGCATGTTGCCTGATGATTACTTCTCCTTGATCCGTGACCAGAATAGCCCAGCAACATGACATTCAGGAGCTGAGGGTAACAGAATCTCTGGAAAACCATCTGTGCACACATTATCCCAATCTATATCGTACCTGTGTGAGCAGAGCATCTGAAAGCATGGATTGATGACATTTGCCCCGTGTAGAGTTTCGATATTTAAATCTGCATGGTTTTTAAATTAAATACGCCAAATGCCATTGACCTTTCTTACTAAGCTGTTTCCAATCCAAAGTTTCTCATAAGTTCTGCGCTTCTGAAGTGCTGACATGTAGAGGGAAAAATTGTTTAAGAACTAAAAAAAAAAGTGGGGTACATTGACAGAATTTTATTCTAGTACCGTTTATTTGCAATTTTTTGTTGCAAATCTGTTTATATATTTTCAAAAGAGCATCATTTAAACATATCATTTGTGAGTTTGGAGTCAATGATTTATTTATTTTTGCTTGGGCATGAGAGCGTGAGAATAACCTGAAATGCGAGAGTCTCATGCTCAATGCGAGAAAGTTGGCAGGCCTGTTACCAAACCAAACTCAATATTAAATTTTCAAAAAGTAATGTACTTGAAATTTTCACTTCGCCAACTTCTACAAGATATTCCGAGCACGAAACAAACCATTACTCATGGAAAGGGCTCTCGCAGGTACACACTTGACATCTGAAGGATCGTTTCACCCCATTCTGCATTTAAAAGCATCTTTTCGTGAATGTGAACAAGCTCTGGGTGGAATGTCAATATTTTTTTCCCTTATATTTTAACAATTCCTCAGTGATAATGTACTGAATGTGCCAGAGAATCAGAATGCATTATCTCCATACTTCACTGTAGCTAAGGAGAGCAATACAAACTAAATGTTGGAAAGATTTTATCAGTTGTAGCCCTTATGGCATGGATGAGTTTCGACCAAGGTTCGGCCAAATTTTAACCCTACAAGATAAATCAAAAGGGAAATGCTTTGATGGTTTAAAAGACTACTGAAAAACAACATATCTTATTGCATGGATGAAACTTGAGGCACATTGTTGACATGTTGTCATTTTATATTTAGTCCAATCTCCAATAGTTTAATAAGACTTATTCCAAAAATTACCAGATAAGGAATAAGCACTAGAAACAGTACAGACTTCAGTACAATTTACTGTCACAGTAATATATGTTCAAAGCCTGAACCAAAAAAAATCATGAAGATTTATTCAGGTTTAATGTACTTCTTTTTTTTAATTATAATAACACAAATAAATTCACCACAACCAAAATGTGCTACATTTCAAATTAAAACAAAATTACAACATATTATTCATGTAGTTATTACATGTATTTCCTACATTTTTACAAGAAGGGAAGAATGCTCTGTCCATTCCACCCCCCCCCCCCCGGCCCAAAAAGACACTTTTTAGCAAATATGAAACACAGGGTTCTGTCCCTGCGCAATATTTGCAAACGAGTTTGAATGTTTGAGATCTGTACTCAAGCGCCATTGTTCAAACTCAAGAGAGTGGAATTTTGCATTTGAACAAACAGTAAAGGATACACTTTTACCGTTCCTTAATCAAATAGGCACTATCTGTGAGTGGTGCACTTCCAAGATGTGTCAATTTACAGACCAATTAAAACCCTTTCAAAGTAACAGAACACCCCGGGGCGATTATTAGTAGCACATAACCGGTAAATGCAACAAAAGCTGTTAACTATTACAGTTTTACAAGGTTTCAGTTCCAATGGTAGTGTATGTGTTGCTTTCTTCGGAACAAAATAGAAACAAAAATATGAACTATTCCATTAATATTTCAATCAGACCAAATGAACAAGTAAAAAAAGAAATTAAGGAAAATTATGGATGCTGCTGATCAATGATTCGAGGGCTGTCCATTTTTCAAAAAATTTGTATTCAATTAATTATTCGAAAAATTCTGCGTTTGAATG